GAAGGCGACATCTGTCCCAGATTTTCTGCACTGTCTGAAACATATTCTCTGACTATCTGGCAGACACAGTCCCTTGCTCACATTAAACCTTTGCTTAATATCTTTTTCCAACCATGCTTTGTTTATTCTCTGCAACAGTAAACAAACTTTAATATATAGCATTTATATAACTAACATTTATTTCCCTTGGTTTTTTTCTTTCTAATAAAAATTCCAAAATGGCCACTAGCTTTGACTATTTTGTTCACTGATGTATCACCTCGTACATAGAACAATGCTTGCCTAGATAATTGCATCAAGTAGTAAGTTTTTGTAAGTCTTATGAGATATGTATGTAGGTGCATGCATGTATATTTGTGAATGTGTGGTATATACACATGTATATGCAAGAAAACTAGTAAGTTTTCTTTCAGATGACTCCTTTTAAGGGTTTACAGATTATATAGAATGTGTTTGCTATAGCACATGTGGCTTTCCTTCACGCGAACTATTTTTGTATTTCCAGAGTCTTATGTGTAAACTTTATGCACTTAAAACTATGTTTCAACTTTGAAAATGATCATGATAAATACCTGTAGGTTATTAACTTAGCAGAATTTTAAGACTCTTCAGCTTAACACAGATTATAGACATTTAAAACCTAATTCAGACCTTTGATTTAATTACACTATGACATAGCTAAGGAATTGTGAACAGATTGGTATTCTGCATTTCACAAAGCCAAATATTTATTTCAGAAAATAAAGGCCATTCATTCATACATAGGTTAGGGTGCCAGTATTAAATTTTTTTGTGTATTTCATACAGAACATCTCAAAAACTCTCAATCATCTTTATACCCCCATCCCCATTGGCACCCTTCCACAGCCCCCTCTCCCCAACACTGGAGTCCATATATTTTGTCATCCCTGTCAGGCCCACTGGGTTGTCAGTGTCTCCAACCATTCCCCAGTGCAAATCTGTCCACTAAGTCTAGTCAGCCTCTCTATGGAGAGTCCCTTGTTTTAGGAAGATCAGCTCTTCTTCATCCAGCAGCAATCAGCTTGCCAACATTCCTTCAGATAAGATTGAGGTCAACTGTTCATTTTCCCAGTTCTATGCTGGGTTATTGTCTACCTGAGTTTGCATGGGATCTGTGTGTGCTGACACTGTTGCCATGAATCATATAACCAGGTTCCCAGGAGCTTATAGGACTCTGTTTTCCATATCATCATGAACCTCTTCCCTGGTTCTTACAACTTTTCCACCCCCTCTTCCACAATGGTCCTTGAGCCTTGGGTGGGTGAAGTTTAACAAAGGGGTCCTGTCCATGGACGAGCATTCAGCAGACTCTTGATCTCTATACTTTGGCTGTTTGTGATCTTTTGTGTTCCTGGCCCTCTGATGCATGAGGAAGCTTCATTATCCAAATCCCTGTTCTATGTTCCATGAGTCTTAGGTGTAGATGTTGCATTATAGATGTGTCACTTAGGTCTGGGCAATTCATAGACAATGTTTGTGTGTGACCATTGTGGTACTTGGTAATAGTTTCTGACTGGTGCGAAATGAGCTTCTTTGATGAGTGGTGACTGGGATATTTGTCTGTAAATATAAGGATACATATTTTGCACGTAGTAAGAAATGAAAAGGAACCAGAGAGATAAAGGAAAAGAAAGAACCTGAGAGAGAAGAACAGTAGGAAACAGGTGTTACTAAAGGAGAAATGGATAAAAATGGGGTTATTTAAATGGGAGAGGGGAGGAGGGTTATACAAGGAATCTTTGGGAATAAAGGGAAAGAAAGAGCTCAAGAGAGATGGGACCATAGGTGATGGGTATTATCAAGGGAGAAGTGGGGAAAATGGGGACACATTAAATTGGGGAAACCATGGCAGAAATGAGAGAGAGAGAGAGAGAGAGAGAGAGAGGAGAGGAGAGAGGAGAGAGAGAGGGAGAGACTACCTAGTCCAACAACCTACTGACAAATTGCACGTACATTATCTCTACATGAGTCCATGTTTATAGCTGGAGGCTACATGGCATGAAACAATGCCAGGCACAAAATACCTTCCTTTGAGTTGTCGGCCAGGGTATCCAAGAGACTCCCAAAATTTACTCAGGCTATTGCCACAGAACTTGAAAGTTAGACCCTACTGCCGAAGACAGAACATACTTTGGACACAGGATTTGGAGCAATAGAGCTGCAAACTGACCTGCAACTACTTCCCCTGAAGGCTAGCTTTTGTAGCTTTGGAGGGTGCTATGAAGGTACCAAGGGAAAGCATCAATGGACAATCCAACACCAGCTTAAAGACCAAATAACCACATTAGTGGCCAACACAGCATACGTCATTGGTGCAATAGTGGCACTCTTATATTGGGGGCAGTCAACAGCCACCTAATTTGACAAACACCCACTCAAAGGGAGGAAACTCAAGTGTGGTTATATAAGCAATTTTTAAAATCATGATATCTCAAAAATTCAGAGTTCTTTGTGAAATAACATGTGGTTCATTTTTTTTTTTTTCCTTTTTGAAACCAGGCTTTCCTGTATCCCCAACTGACCTGGAACTCCCTATGTAGACCAGGCTAGCCTCAATCTAACAGAGATCTGCCTGCCTCTGCCTCCTCAGTGCTGGGTTAAAGGCATGTGTCACCATGCCCAGCTCATTTTATTCTTTCTTGATAGAATAAATCAGCTGAAATGCCTATCAGTTTTCTTTGTTGTTTGCATAGAAGAATAACTTGATAAATTGGTATTATGAATTCATTTCTCAAAATGTGTTGCACATTTACATTTATAAATACTAATATCTCAAAAGCTCCTGTGAACATTAAGTAAAATATCAAAAGGAAGTACTTACCAGAACCTCTTTCTGTTGTTAAATGGCAGACGATTTAGAAAGAAAGAGACAAATGGTATTGTGAACTGCCTGAACTGTTTACTTTTGGAAACCTAGATTAATAATCAGATTTTGTTCTGTTTTCTCTTTACTTTTAATCTAGTGAGACCATAAGAAGATTAGTTAAAAGTTTCTTCTATTTGTCTCTAACTTGTAGATGCATGCTTTTTCATATGGTTTAGAATAAAGAAGTAATTAATGTTTTAGGTGAAATGTTATTGTCAGACACCTTTAGCAATATAGCTAGGAAGCATTCAGAATTTGGACTTTTTAGGAGAAGTGTATTTGAGTTTTTCCCCTATTAAGGAGCTTCCTGACACCCAACTTGATGTGTTGATCTTGATGTTATTTCTCAAATTCAGTTTTCCTTCTTGTGACGACCCTATTGCCAAGCATTTCTGATTTATTTTGATGAGACAGTTATGTACTTCATAACTATCTTAATTTCAGTTTTACATGGAAACACATTAATCATCACAAGCTAATTGTTATTCATAGTCAAATGACTGAGTTGGTAAAATTATAAAAACTAAACTTAAGGTATTGTATTACAGAATTATGAAAATACCCCTTTTAGGTATTTTTTATTGTTAAAATGCTAGTTTTAGAGTAGTTTATCTGTGATACTTTCCTCCTATAATTCTAATAAAACCACAGAAAGTTTTATTTGAATTATGGATTATAGATAAATGATCTTGTTAGGCCAGGAAACATAAATCTCCAGCTGGGTATATAAATCTCCGTATATCATTCAGTCAAATGAAGTTATAAAATAATTGTAGTATCCAAAAAATATACAGGTTCAGGGAGCTCCCTGTTGATTTTGTACTGTCAAGTCCATTTTGAAGGAATAGAAAACAAGTTTCTCTGTAAGAAAGTATACCTGTTACAAGATTTTATTCAGTTTTTTATCTAGCTTTTAAGTTATTAAATATAATAGTTTTGAACAGTTTAGCAAATGAAATTTAAAATCAACAACTTGAACATCTGTCCCTTATAAAACAGCTGTATGTGTCATATATTGGTCTCTGTGACAGCTGTCCTCTCATCACAGGCAGGACTAATTGTGTGTGTGTGTGTGTGTGTGTGTGTGTGTGTGTGTGTGTGAAGAAGCACATTCATGATGAATTATGTGCTACATGTGTTGGTAGCATACTGAAGCATGTTCAGAGTTAATAATAAACACAGACTTGTAGGGAAAATGATTTCCATCCTCCGTTCATATGTTTGATTTTATGGTCTAACCACACAGAAATAAAAGCTGATAGAAACATCTAGGCTTCCCTAGTAACTACAGAATTTATGGCAAGTTTTTCCTGTGGTGTGTGAATAAAAGTTAGAGCAGCTAGCTGAATGACCCACGACATCTGCTAGGCTGTTTTTATATATTCAGGATTTTGTTTTGTTTTGGTCTTTTTGAGACAGGGTCTCCCTGTAACCCCAGCTAGCCTAGCACTCACTGTGTAGATTAGGCTGGCCTGGATCTCACAGAGATCCTTCTGCGCCTGCCTCCCCTAGTGCCAGAACCAAAGGTGTGCACTACCATGCCCAGCTTCTCAGGATTTTTTCTTTTTACAATACTATCTTATCTACATGATTTGTAATTTTATGAGGGAGTAAGGAGATTAATTCATCAAAGTTAATAGACCTGTGGCCTGCATCTGGTATCATTTCCACTGCTCAGGCTAGTATAAAACAGAAGGGAGAGAAGGGAGTTTAGCTATGCTTTAAATGATAGAACTGTGTTCGGAGTCAATCGTTTTACACTTTATTAACCGTCCAAAAATGTAAGACAGTATTGCTTTGTGGGCAGTATACTTCTAATATATAAAACATCAATTAATAAAATAAGAATTATGTGTAGTACAGCATTAAACAGAAACCTTAGATTTAACAAGTTTTATGCAGATTAAGAACTTTTGATATCATCTCCCTTTTCTTTGGAATCATCTACTCTATTAAAATAAGAATTGATTTAAAGATGACAGCTTCATTTAAGGGACTAGGAAGGAGAAAAGGTCTAAAATACTCAAAGGCAGCATTTCTGCTTACATATATTAGATTGAAATTTTCGTTTTATGTGTTAACATATTTGTTTACAGTTTTGTTGTTGTTTTAGTCTATGCAGGGGAAACTTTCTAAAGAGAAATTGACTGCACAAAACATGATGGAAGAGCTAGAAAGGAAAGAAGGAAGCCTACAGAGATTAACAAAAGTACTGCTTGAAGTGAGTAGCAACTCAGATTGCCTCGAAGGATGATTTACTCCCTCATTAGCTTTTAAGTCAGTGCTTACTTTGTGCATATTAATTATAAAACATGTTTGAATTGGAGGCTTAACTTTGATGTGCCAGTTAATTAAATACATTAGGCTTGTTAAGAAAATTGCAATAAAAAGACAAGCCTTATTTTTCTTGTCTTTTTTTTCTTATGTCTCAGAATACAGTTTTCATGACTTCACAAAGTCAAATGCTAAACAAACACTAAGCCCCAAAATGAGTAAGACATAAACTGAACCTTATGTTCCTAATGAACGTACTCTGAAAATCCTTAAGGAGGGCATAGTGTTGGCACTTGCTCATTTGAACAGATCATACTTTCTCTTAAGTCTTAACTGAATTACTTGACCTTGTTTAAGGACGTGATGTGTTAAAAACTATATTTTAACTGTCAACATTTTACCCCAAAGTTAAAGTTGAGGATATTTTCTTATATAACCACAATACCATTATCATACCCAATAAAAATAATGATTAATGATTCCAGCTGGAAAGATGAGTCAGTGATTAAAAGCACTGGCTGCTTTTGCAGAAGTCCTGGGTTTGATTCCCAACACCCACATGGTGGCTAACAACCATCCGTAACTCCAGTTCTAGGGGAATCCGACGCCCTCTGTGGGAGGGCCTCTGTGGGCCTTTCACAACACAGGTTCACTTTCCCATACATGCAGGCAATCTACTATTACCCAAAAATAAAAATAATAAAATATTTTTTAAAAATAATGATTCCTTGATAAGAAATTTTTGCTTATAGACTTCAGGGAAAATGTTGGCCTGTATGACTTTTGAATACCTTTCCTCTTGTTCTAATAACTGACTCTTTTTTTCTTTATCCACTACAGAACCAAAGACACACAGGAGAGACATACTCTTTATTGGATCAGGGCCATGAAGCAGACCAGTCTAAGCAGCAGACCGTTCAGTCTAAGTGGCCTCTATTTGATTTGACTGTGATTGACCAGCTGTTCAAGGAAATGTCCTATTGTTTGTTTGACTTGAAAGCATTGTGTAGTATTCTTAACCAGCGAGCCCAGGGCAAGGAGCCTAATCTTTCATTATTACTGGGAATCCGATGTAAGTGACTGATGTCTTGTCCTACTTTATTCCTTAAAAATTAGAGACATGGAACTTCTGACTGCCTTTCCCCTGCTTACTTTTATGATCTCCTTCCCTACTTGGCTTTAAAAGTCTCTGATTCAGTTGGTAGTTTTAGGTTTTTATTGCTATAACAGATCTAAAACTTGTAAAAATCAACAAGGTCATAGCTGTGTATGACCCATTACTTGGCAGAATGCCTAGAGATGTTTCCTACGTGAGTCTGTGAATGTGTGCCTGTAGTGCTAGTTAGGAGTGGTTTTCCATTTAGTCTTATAAAAGCAATTTCTGTTGCTTTCATATAGTATTTGTATAGATGAATGAGCCAGCTGTATGTTCACTGGTAGAATATTTGTTAGATAGTGCGCAGTTTCTGTATGCATTTTGTCTTGTATGGCTAAATGTGAGTGCCAGGTTGTTCTCATGAACCCGATTCTCATCCCATGGATGTGCCAACTTTGTGTGGGGCATGCCTATTGGCTTTTCTCCTTTTCATGTGACACCTCCCCCCAATTCTCTCAGTTCTTTCTCCACACATAATTGTGAGAGAACTGCTCCAGTAATACACTAGTACGCATCTTCTTTTTCAGGAGACTTATGTAGGAATGCCGATCTCTTCATGTGGCTCCTAGTAGTAAAATGTCATGTTGGCATCTTTTTAGTAGAGAAGAAACAGACTAGTAAAAGGTTAAGATCAGAGTAAGACTACATAATAAAATTTATGAATACACATGTTATATTGAGTGTTTTCCTTAGTATGGTTCTTATGTGACCAGAGAAAGAACTAATCTTCTAGTTTCACCAAAAATATTCCACTACCTTATCTTTTGATAGTTATTTTGGCTCAAAAAATTTAAATGTGGTCTTAAAGTATGTCAGTTGAAAAATATTTATACTAAGCAAGGCCAGCAGAATTTTACTACCACTTCCTAGATGTTTACATAGTGTAGGCATACAAAACACACTGCTGAATAATATTCACTGTATAACACCGGATACTTTCAATGGTCCAGGTACTAAGTTAGTTGTTGCTAATGCAGATAATTGACCATAGCCGTCTCCCCCACATTAACCGAATTATTAGATCATTCCAATAAGTGCAATAATTGAGACATGGTCAAGGAACAGTGGGAGCACAAGGAAAGAAACAACTAAGACTACATGGGAAGGGCTGTGAAGGCTTTGTGGAATAGCTGGTGTATAACATGGATTCTTAGAAGAGAAGACATTTGCCAGGTGAACATTAATGATTTGGTTAGAAATGATCTCTTTGAGCAAGTAGACATTCACATACAAAAAAGACTAATTTTCTTCAATGATTTAGAACTGGTCTTCCCTTCAGTTATTTTGTAATCTACATTTTCAGTACAGTATTTGTTAACCTTTTAATTAATAAAACAATAAACCTATGCCAATTTGAGTAAAATGGAAATTCAATGCTCTTTCCACCTTTACCACCCCTGCCTCTAGTATGTACTCTTTCTAGGCTTTCAACTTCAAACCCCAAATCCTTACCTTAACATTTAATTTTGTGAAATTTTGACCAGCCAGCTACTTTGTCAAGAGCCAATGGATCTTTCGAATTCTCATGACCTCTTCAGTTACCTGTTGACAGACCCTATTAAATGCTTCTTAAATTTCTCTGCCTCCTTGGGTTCCATGACAACACTAAGTTCTACTTTTACCTTTGTAACTGCTCAGCCTCAATCTTCTGTGGACTTCTCTGCCACTTTCATACTGGGAACCGCAGGCACCATCAGTTATCAGGTGTTTTTGTTTGTTTCTCCTTTCATTCCCTACTCTCTCAGAATAAGTTTTCCATATCCTCCTCTTTCCTGTTATTACCATATCTTTCCCCCGTACAAACAGTTATCTCTTACTGGTCTAGGAGGCCTCTGTGGTCTCCTGATCATAATCACTTCTCTGTACATTTTTGAACGATTTCATAAGCATCACAGGCACAGCATCACTGAAATAGGAACCCCCCTTCTTCACACTAAACCTGCTCCACACAGTAAGTAGCACCAGCATATTCTACTTGCTTTTTCTTCATCTGTGACCCGACCCCAGTCCTTGACCCTCACCCAAGTTGATGATAATTGAGCTTTATTAAATGTAACATTTATTCCTACCAGTACAACACAAACTTTAATTCATGTTTTCACAGCCCCAAACTTGGACTGATCTTTCTGTAACCCATCTTTTTCATCTTCCTTCCTTCATCCATTTTTCATAGTGTACCAGAATGTTCTGTATAAGCCACAAGTCTATTTTCCTAGTATACTGTCCTGTGACAGAGATAGTGGACCTTACTTACCCCTGTAGCTTATTCCTTGTAACTGCTCCCTTTCATAATTGGTGTTCTACATTTTAGAACTGGATACTAATCTTCCTGAGTTTCTCAGATTCTACCAGACTACTTTGTTTTTGGCTTCCTTGGCCCACCAGTGAACAAATCTCAATCATTTCTCCAGTTAGGTCTCTGTATTCTTTTCTTTTTGTATTTCTACATCTTGTGGGATGTGATAAGTCATTTATAATTATACATTATGCTCATTTGTTTATAAAATTGTACATAAAGCATTGAGAATAAGCCATTGTCCTCAACATCCAGCATAATACTTTGATCATGGCAAATGTTCACTAGTGTTTGTTAAAGAAACAGTTATTTTACTCTTATGCCACTAATAAATTGCCAGGGCTAATAAAGATAGAAGTTTACTTCACAAGTTGCTTGCTTTTATTTTGGGACATGCTTATGAAAAGAAATTAGGGTGGATTATTAAAAGCTAGATGGGCAGGGCTTCATCCTAGTTATTCAGGCCACTGTCTGTAAACTTGATTCAGTTGTTTGGGATTATAGGGTCCCCGTACTTTTGTGGTATAGTTTGAAGACTCTCTGAATGCCAGTAAAAACTCCCTTTGCAATCATGAAAATTTCAGGTATTTGTTCTGGCCATGCAAATGATTTTCAGATTTTGTCAAGGGAGAGGAATTAAGTGCTCTAATTGAGTTGGAAAAGAGACATCAGGGCTCTGAGAATGTTGTCATCCACAAAGTGTACTGAATTTGTGTTGTCACATGAATTTAATACATTTTAATTGACAAAAATTTTGAAGATTGCATAGATAAGATCTATTTAATATCAAATAACATGTAGTTTAAAGGTATACCTCACTGGTATTCATTGTACAGCATTATAGTTATATGGTTGAGGTGAGAATCATAAAATATCTATTCAAAAAATTTGAGACTTTCTCTCCATTCTTTATTTACACAGCAATGAACTGTTCAGTTGAAGAGACTGAAAATGACCACAGCCCAGAAACACTCACGAAAAAACTGTCAGATGTATGTCAGTTACGGAGGGACATTGATGAATTAAGGACTACGATATCAGACCGCTATGCTCAGGACATGGGAGATAACTGCGTTACCCAGTGATCAAGTGTTGGTCCACAGTAATAATGATCCATTGTGACATGCTGCTGTGTTACACTTGTTTTTTTTTTTTTTTTTTTAGGAGTTACATGCCTTGCACATAGATTTTGTTGTTGTATTTATTGTACTAAGGGAGTTTTGAAGGGGCTTATCAAATCAGGCAAGCAAATCAAGTTACTAATTTGAAAAATTTGAAAAAAAAAAAGTCTACAAGAAAAAAAAACAACAAAACATCATATTCTCTCAAACTACTGATTGTAGGACCAAGCTGTGAACAGTGCCCTTCAGATAAAGGTGTAGGATTTCTTTTACATGTGGGGTGTGTGTAGGTGTGGGTGTATGTGTGTGTGCACTGTGTGTGTGCATTTGTATGCATGTATACACACTTCACAGAATAGTAGGTTTTCAAGGGTCAAAGCAAAGCTTCTAAAAAGGCACACACTGTTGTTAATTCTTAACATTTTTATATTGAAACATGTATTACATTTTGGGATTCTCAAGGGTAGGCTGAGTAATTCCAAAACCAGGAGTGTTCTAATATAGAAGGACAACAGCAAGCAAAACCATTTGTATTTTAAATAGTCATTGTACTTATAAGGCTGTTGAATTGGGCTGATGTTACCATTGAAGGTAGACCAGCTGTTTTTCCAGGGTAATGATGGACTGTTGTTAGCAATGTGAAATTTTGATATGATAATCTTTTCCATTAGCACTGTAATTTATATATAAGAAAGATTATATAATTTGAATTAATTTCAACATACCCCTTACTATTTGCAACTTTTATTTATGATAGGTATATATGTAAGCAAAGCCATATATAATGCAAACCCTCTAAGGCCTCTAGTGACTATTGTAAAAAGAAAAATGAAGTAACTCTGGAACAGTTGCTTATTTATCCATATCTCAGTATTTACAGTTTAACAGTTAAAACTGCTTTAAGATAAAGGCTACTCACATTCATATCTGACTGAACACTAGCATAAAACAAATCCTAAGCTTCAATGATATTTCTTTTATTAGATATATTACATTAAATGGAGTTTTCCATGGAGCATGAACTTGATTAGGTTAGTTCTTCATCTGGAGCACAGGGAAGTACTATGATACACAACTCATTTTAAGCAGGCACACACAATCCTTTAAACTTCCAAATGAGTATTGTCAATGTTTCAGTGGGTATTTTGGAAAGACTATATATTTTATTACTTTCAGAGATTGCATCACATTCTTTTAAATACAGGCAAAGCATTGTCTTCTATAAGCTGGTTTTATTTTTGGTGTAACTACGTTTCATTGAGGCAAGGCTAAAGAGGTGAGAGAGTGTGAAACTATCAGGAGATACTGTTTTGATTGGCAGCAGATCTCACACTTGCTTTCTTACTAGGCTTGTCTACTGGTATAAAGCTTACTCCTAGAAAAGATTTTTCTTAATCTCAACAATAAAAACATAGTAGGACAGGCCTTTGTGGAGATTACCCAGGAAAACAGTTCATAGTTTGGGCCGTGTTCTGCTATTCATAGTCATTTGATAGGTACAGTTCAATAGTTCATTATAATGCAGCATAAAGACATTAGATTTCTCTTAGGTTCAGTGTTGAATCTTCCGTACTTCTCTTAGGATCTGACTACTAAGAAATCAACGTGTTGGGGTGATTATACATCCCAACTTCCTTAACCCAGAGAGGGACTTAGTCACTGGTAAGATTTTGACTCTAAAAATGTGTTCTTTGGAATTTAATATTAGTACTTTGAAGACAATCAAGGAATCATAAGTTTATTCTAAAAAGTGGATGCAAAAATAGATGCCCTGAAAATATTAATGTCTGTTCAGATGACCCTGTCCAGTAAAGTAGATGATAGAATCTACATAGTTCAACCACAATGCAGCAAGTAACCTGTTTACCTTCTCTTTGAATAGAGTTCCTCATCTCCTGCTATGATTTTAGAAATAAAGGCACCCACCATAATAGAACAATGAACAGCCATCTCTGATTTGGACCAGAAGGTTCTTATATATCTGCTAGGTTTTTAGTTTGTGTTTTGAGGCTTTGAACTTGTTACTGTTTTTTTTTTAAACAAATTTATAGTCATTTGTTTTAGTGTATATGTCTATCTTTATCTTCTCTATCCATCTGTCTGTCAGTTTATAACCAGATAGATATAGATACACATTTGTCTTCTGTCTACTTGGGGTAAAATAATTTTTTGTTTTGGTTAGTTTTCTAAAACTTAAAGAATTTAGTTCACATGTCTTGGGGTAAACAATTTTTTTTTACTTGGGAAATTATCAAACTGCTCCTGATGCATTTTAGTTTCTTAAATTGTGTAGTACTGTTGTAAAAGAATTAAGATATGATAGTTTGGATATAACAATCTCTTAGAGTTTGAAGATAGTGAAGGGACCTTGATAATAAGTAGACAGCTTTGAAGGGGATTCTGAGGAACATGAAACTGGTAGTGTCCTAGGCAGTCAGCATTTAATTTTTCTGAAAATCATCTAATAAGACGCCTTTGTATTAGAACAGTAATAATACTGGCATCATAAAAAAAAATTACCATTAGATCAAGTAAGATGGAAAAATAGCAATACTGTAGTGTTTTTCTTTTGTCCCTGTTTTTGAACCAGGATGTTCATGGAAGTTATTACAGTGATAGAGGCATAAATGAAAAGTAAACTAAATTCTAGAGTGAATCTATTTGTAAATCTCCAAAGGTAATGAAATTTCTTTTCAATTATGGTTTTGTATATTAAGTCCTCTTGGGAAGAGTCACTCAGTATTTTTTTATTTTTAATCTGTTAAAGTTGAAGTCACTCTAGCACAGTCACATGGAACAGAGGCAGACGTGACAGTTATCTCAATGAAAGATCCTATCTGCACAGGCAAAATTGGCTGAATCAAGGACACAATAACACTCTTTGCATTTGATGTCAGAAAAATAGAATGATGTTAAGCTTAGTAAATTGTCTATGACCTCTTAATTTTAATAATGTAAGTCTTGATTAGGTATGATATGGCAGTATTTTATTTTTAAAAGCAGAGTTTCCTTTTATATTTAGAATAAGCTTCAATATTTAATGCTAACATTATTATATCTTGGTGAGCGTTTCAGTCATGACATTTATTAAACTGAATTAGGCTTCTTTCGGTAGATTAGAAAAATTGCATGGGCTAGAATGTATTGCTAAAATGAATATTGCACAGATCTGACTTAGGAGCTTGGGAGGAAATGCTGTCCTTGTTTCAGATTCAGTAGCAATCTCCCAGAACATATTTGTAAATGGATTATTTTATTGAAGAGTGTTCTTTAAATATCAGTAATAGTTCACTGAGCACTTGGACTGCGCTTTACATAGCACAGTTCAACTCGAGCACACCTTTGGTTTGGGTTGTTGGAATTCTCATGTAGATTTCTATTCTAGATATGAATTATATAATACATTCTCATAATAACCATGCACACACAAATACATTATTTGAAATTACCCGTAGCTAATAGCTATCATTTTGTTTTCATGTCTGACAATTCAGTGTTCACAAACTAAGAAACTTTCTCTAGTTTGTGTAAAATTTCCAGCTTTGACCCAAAATGCCATTGATAGTAATTGCTGTGTGGATGTATCATGTTTTAATCATGAAAGGGAAAGATTGAGGATTTCTTCTTATTTAAAGGAAATACTGAATATAGTATGAATGTACTTTTAAATCAGTAAGTCATCAGCGGCACTGTTGCAGCTATATACAGAGAGAACCTTTTGTGCCTTTTTGCCTGCAGTGTTTATTTCTATCTTACATGAGCTGTAAGAATGATTATTGCACCTTGTTCTTTTGTAAACAGATTTAAGAAATTTTTAAGAGTTGTTTCTAGTTAGAAGGTGACTACCTTAGTAAACATGAGAGGATGTATCATATATGTTTGTGTTTGAAGCCCAGCCTTTTCTATATAGTGAGCAGGAAATGCCTTTAGAATGTATTCATTTGTGTATATGTGTACATATATATATATGTGTGTGTGTGTGTATATATAAGTAGTTATTTAAATACACAAGTGTGTAATTGAGCATCACATTGGCATGATGACCAGAAGTAGTAAGGTGCTAGGTGGTCACATTAAAAGCACAGCAGTGTGCAATCAGTCACTGAGACTGGTGGGTTTGTAAACTAGGTTCAGTTTTTGAACCACCAGAATACCTCATGTGTAAATACAGTGTTTATGACTTAATTGAAATACAGTTATTGTAAAAAGAAATGTGAAGCCACTGGTTGGCTTATGCCTTCTGACCTTTCATTTGTGCCTCCTTTTTTGTAAAGGAGTTGTTTCTGCTTTTGTTTTTTGATAGGGTTTACAGCTAGAAATTTGAATGCCAAAGTTCTATTTATTAAAACTAAGAAAAATGTTTTCAATATTAATGACTAGTATTTTTCCACTGGATTCTTGTTTGTTGATGTTGGGATTTGTATTTACAGAGAAATAAATTTTTTAGAAAAAGGCTTATGTCTTCATTGTCCCTAATGTTAATGTCAGAATGTATTTGAAATTACGGCTCTCCTGGGTTCTCAGTGACAAGAATATGCTGACTAAAAACTTTCCATAAGTTATATAGGAGAATCTTTGACTAGAACAGAGACTTCTGCTTTTTAAGTCTGTCTTATCATTTCATTTGCTAAAAAGCATTTTTTTCTCAAGGCCTTTCTTGGAAGATAGGGAGATTTTCAATGATAGATGCTATAAATACAGCAGCCAAGCCTGTGTACATTTCAATGAATAGTGCTGTGTTTGTTACTGTAGGAACATTATAATCCCTGTTCAAGTCTGAAGTCATCTTTCTAGTTTTCCAACAGACTGCTTCAGTTTTCCAAATTGGGTAAGTTAATCAGTTCTTTTTGGTTTTCTCCCTTTTAATCAAAAGTTGAGACTTTACTGAAACATGTAAAAATGAGGTCTTGTGTAGGGCCTTACCCTCTAAGTTTGGTTAGCCAGCATAGGCCCAGAGCTGCCCTGAGAATGGCCGTTCTGTTTGGAATCACATAAGCAGTGGGTTCACTGATGCAGGAAGTTGTCTGATATTTGGGTCCATGATATTTTATTCAGTCCAGCATGCTTGGCATTGTTCTGTCAGAGTTTTTAATGACCCATTTAATTCAGTTAGCAGGGGAAGGATACCTTTAGAAAGCCTAATACTGGTGTTACAGACTACATGGTTTCAATTGAATATCTTAGAAATAAAAGCACGAAGCTGGGCATGGTGGTGCATGTCTGCCATGCCAGGAAAATCAGTCAAGGCTCTCCTTGTCTAAATAGCAAGTTTGAGGCCTGCCTGGGTGGCTGCATGAGTTACTGTCTCAAAACAACAATAACAAAAAGAAAAAAGTACAAAACAAAATTCTAGAATTAAATTTTTCTTCAGAATGGAAGGATCACTTTTTGATCTGATTTTTTTTTTTTTTTAAGATACTTTAGAGGAGTTAACAAAGAACTTTTGGCAACGTATTTAAGCATTTTGGTAATAATTTGAGCTTTTGTTCTGCCAGCTTTCTCCAGACAGATTCACTCTATCTAAAGACGTCCTGATTTAAAGAGAGGCAGGATTCGTGAAACTGCACACGAAAAGCAGTTTCAAATGCAGAGGCTCTGACAGGTCAGCAGACAGCCTCCTTGACTTAGTAAGACTCCCAGCATGAGAAATGAAATTGTGACCAAAGATTAGGTGGAGCTCTTGGGACCAGACCCAGGTTGCTGTCAGCCTCGGCCAGAGAAGGTTCTCTTTGCAGTCAGCAATAGTCAGTGGAGAGATGCATAACTGGTCACAGTGTTGAGTAAGAGACTTGAGTACTCAGTCCTGCACAGGATATCTGTATTAAACCCAGTACCACCAAGGTTCAGGGTACTTTGTGGAAGAGGAGGCAGAATGTAAGGCCAGAGGATGGGGAGGAGCTATGCAAAATGCTGTCTTCTCAACATGAAATGGTCATTTCATGACTCCTAGTAGCTGTGCCTACTTGCACAAGAACTGCACAAGCTCAAGCCAGTCAAAATCCTGGTGTAGATGGGATAGACAATCTCCTGGCCTCACTAGTTGCTGTGAGAAGAGCCGTTCTTTTTTAAGGATGTGGCCACTGGTAGGTTTCCCATGCTCAGTGGATGACCCCACACCCATCCATATATAACCCACTAATTGCACTTTAGAGGGCTATTTTTTAAAAGACATGAAGTTGGGAGGGACGCATGTTGGGTGAGTATGCGGAGAGTTAGAGGGGAAATATGGGGGTTAGATATCATATTTCACTATATACTTGTATGAAGTTCTCAAGAAAAAAATTTAAAGTTAAACACACATACACACAAAACCCAGAAATAAACCTGGTGGCATTTTCTCTGTTAACAAAAGCCACACCAAAATGGAATCTTTATTGGTACCATGCTGTTCACAGAAGGGAGAATCCAAGTGTAGCTGCCAGGAGAGTACATTAAATAGAAGATTGCTGAAATATTTCAAAGAAAACTTTTTATTTCTTTGTCAAAAAAAAAAAAAAAGTGCGATCACAAAAAGATCTTTCCATTTTGAGAGAGAACATAAAAAAGAAAATTTTTTAAAAATTTCAAAAAAAACTTTTTTTTTTTTTTTCAAAAAAAAAAAAAAAGTGCGATCACAAAAAGATCTTTCCATTTTGGCCACCATGTTCTTACTTCTCAGTCTCTCTCTGTGGATGCCCTCCTAATAGAAGTTTTGAACTAAACATCTACCTATGACTAGGAAATGGCACTCAGACACTTGAGATCTAAAAACACCTTTTACTTGAGATAAATAAAAACAAATACCCATCAAGGGACTTGTAAATTAGTATTTAAAGTAACTTTATTCAGAATAAAAGATGAAATGTTCTTACTTCTCAGTCTCTCTCTGTGGATGCCCTCCTAATAGAAGTTTTGAACTAAACATCTACCTATGACTAGGAAATGGCACTCAGACACTTGAGATCTAAAAACACCTTTTACTTGAGATAAATAAAAACAAATACCCATCAAGGGACTTGTAAATTAGTATTTAAAGTAACTTTATTCAGAATAAAAGATGAAACAGTCCAGGATTTTTCAAAGGTTTCTTAAAGACAGAGTTGAAAAAAATTAGATTGGACTTGTGCTTGTTTTTCTAGGACCCTGCAATGAACCATTATTTATTTGAGATCTTTCTGAGTTTTAACATAGGTACTTGTTACTATAAACTTTCCTCTTAGAGGTGCTTTCTAGATTTGGATATGCTGTATTTTCATTTCTACTTAATTCTAGAATTTTAAATTTTATGCTCCTAATTTCTTTGCTGAGCCATCATCATTCAATTGTGAGTGTAGTTATAAATAAAACTTATAGCCAACATTACGCTAAATGGAGTAAAAACAAATAATTTTCACTAAAATTAGGAATGAGGCAATAAAACAAGCAAATAACAGTACAGAAAAGGAAAAAGTTGAAGTATCCTTATTTGCAGATGACATATTCCATATATGAGACCCGAAATGCATGTTGAGAAAGAAAGAAGGGAAACAGTCCCATTCACAATAGCCTAAAAACAAAACAAAAAACCTTGGAGTAAAAGAACTCTCCAGTGAACTCTTTAAATCACTGAAAGAAATCGAAGATGATGCTAGAAGTAATCAATTACTTATGAATTGGAAGAAAGTGACAATATTACCAAAGGCAATCTACAAATTCAATATAATCTCCATTAAATTCCCAATGATGTTCTTCAAAGAAATAGAAAAACAATAAAATTCATAATGGAAACACAAAAGCCAAATAGCCAAAGCAATGCTTAGGAAAATAACAATGCCAGAGATATTATTGTATCTGATTTCAAGTTATATTACAGAAATAAGAAAAACATCATGGTACTGACAAAGAAGCAGACATGTAGATCAGTTGAATGACATAGAGTTCCTAGATGTAAAAGCACATAGCTATACCCATAAAAATAAGTTTGAGAAATCAGGGAGGAAATTTTAAAATTCCTAGACATGAAAGGATAGTGCAGCCTACTAGGTCCTCTGGGACACAGCTAAGGTAGTCCTTAGGTAGTAAGGAGGAAAATAAGTTATAAAGGCTAGCATTAAAAAATAAGATCTTGGGGATGAAGAAATGGCTTACTGGTTAATAGTGCATCTACTCTTACAGAGGACCTGAGTTTAAAATAGCCCACATCAGGTCGTTCACAGCCACATGTAATTTTAGCTCCAGGGATACCTTCTGGCCTCTGGGAACTCACATGCACATGTGTATACACACACAACTTTTTAAATCAGATGTCAGATAAACCTGATAATGCACTTTAAGGCTCTAGAAAAACGAGAAGCCAATCTCAAGCCTAGTAGACAGTAAGAAATTAGAACAGAAATTTAGTGAAATAGAGTCTACACATAATCAAAGAGCTGGTTCTTGGAAAATGTTAACAAGACTGATAAATACCTAGCCAAACTAAAAGAAAGACAGACTCAACTAATAAAATTAGAGGTGAAGTTGTTATCATGGACTCTAATGAAATCCAGAAGATTATTACAGAATAGTTTGAAAACTTACATTGCAAAGTTGGAAAACTTTGAAGAAATAGATATGTATCTAAATGCATATGACATCCCCAAATTAAAACCAGAAGATATAATTAATTTAAACAGACCTATTACAAGCAATGAGATCAAAGCTGTAATTAAGTCAGCCAAGGACCAAATAGATTCACTGCTGAATCCTTGCAAACATTTTTAAGGAGCCAATACCAGTATTTCTCAAACTTTTCCATAAAATAGAAAGGAGAACACTAACAAATTCTCTGAATCCAGTATTATCCTGATACAAAACAGGATAAAGACACAACAACAAAAAGAAAACTAGAGACCAATTTCCCTGGTGAACATAGATGTAAAAATTCTGAACAGAATATTTGCAACCTAATTCAAGAACACATCATGACCAAATGAGTTTCATTCCATGGATGCAAGACTGATTCAACATGTGAAAACTGATAAACAGTATATAAATGATCTTAAAAGCAGAAATCATGTGATCAATTCATTAGATGCAGAAAAGGCATTTATTGAGTTCAGCATGACTTTATAACAAAAATTTGGGGGAAGTTAGTAATGGGTGGAACATATCTCCAAACCCGAAGGCTAAATGTGACAAACCTATAGCCAACATTATGCTAAATGGGGAAAAACAGAACATTTCCTCTAAGATCTGGAATGAGATAAAGGTGCCCATGCTTTCCACTCTTATTCAGTATACTTCTGAAGATCTAGCTAAAGCAATAAGACACAAGAAAAATACAGAACTAGGAAAGGAAGAAGCTAAATTACCTCTATTCACAGATGGTATGATTCTATAAAAGACCCTACAGACTATCAGAAAACAAGTTTAATAAGCTTTTTCAGTAATGTCACAAGATACAAAGCCAATATACAGAAGTTAACAGCTTTCATATACACCAATAAAGAACATGAT